CAGAGATTCTGAATTTCCGAATTTCTGAATTTCTGACTACTAGAATTCTATATATCCAAAAAATTCAAAATATGAAATTTTACAAGTTTCGAGAAAGTTTTGAGTTTTCGAGATTGGTTTTCAGTTTTCCAATTTTTTCAAAAATCTGAAAAAGAATCTTTGATTCAGAAAATAAGATATTCAGAATCTTTGATTCAGAATTGAATTTCTGAATTTCTGAATTTCTGAATTTCTGAATTTCTGAATTTCTAAATTTCTGAATTTCTGAATTTCTGAATTTCTGATTTTCTGAATTTCTGAATTTCTGAATTTCTGAATTTCTGAATTTCTGAATTTCTGAATTTCTGAATTTCTGAATTTCTGAATTTCTGAATTTCTGAATTTCTGAATTTTCTAACTTCAAAATTTTGAATTTCGAAAGCTTAAAATTTATGTTTTGAATTTCTAAAAAAACTGTGAAATTCGAAGATTCTAGATGTCTATAAATTTTTGAAAATCCAGAATCTACCAATTTTAAATATTCAGAACGATCAATTTCTACCTAGTTTGTGCAAAAAACATACCAAAACTCAGTGCCAGTGAGCAAAGTAAAAAGTGATTACCAGTGAAAATGTTAAAATTCACAGTGAATAAAAAATAACGTGATAGTAGATCTAGGTGCTTGAACAATAAGAAATATAACTTTCCAGGGAGTTTACTGCTCTTTTCGATTGGGGGGTTTTTCTGACTTTCGACTACGCGATAAGGGAGTCTATGTCATGTGAAACAACGGATAAGGCACTTTTTATCCCCACTCTTTTTTATTTGAGAGATGTATCTGAATGTTCGACAAGTTATATCGGAGAGATACAGAGCAAGTTCTCTTTTATCAGTCAGTGATTACGATTTTCAAGTGGAGGATGGGGAAGAAATTGGAAATCGAATGGAACGGAGTGGCAGATGGGAATGGCGGATGAGGAGAACAAGAAAAAAATTGATGAAATTGAGAGAAAATGAGCAAATAGATATTTGAGGGATGTATCATATGTTATGTGTACTTTCAGATTTGGTAGAAAAAAATAGGTTTTGAAATTTTCGGCTTCTCGCACTGTTAATTTTGAGCTCATATATCTTGTTTCCTTTGAAAGATATCAAAAGTGTGTAAATTGATAAAATATTCAAGATATTATGATAAACATTTTATTAGTTGACAGTTTTTTTTGTAGAAGATATCAAAAAGTTGTGTACTGATGAAATGTTGGTGATAATATGATAAATATTTTATCAATTGACAGCTTTTTGATATCTTTTACAAGAAACGAGATAAATTAGATCAAAATTGACGGTTTGGAAGCCCTTCTATTAGAGGCGTTAGAGGGTCCATCACATTTGAAAGGGATCAAAATCTGGAATTTCCTATTTTTTATTATTCTATTATTCTTTCTGATTCCTTTTGAACTTTTCCCTTTTCCCACAATTCATAGCCATCGTGCTATGTGGGAAATTTGAAATTTTGGGACGTTTTTCTTTTAAAAATTTCAAAAAAAAATCTAAATGGGTGGCAAAAAGGGAGAGAGAGAGATAAAGAGACCCAGGAAAAAGGGTAACAAAACATTTAGGTATATGTTCAGTGATGTGAAAGGGAATAAAAGTACAAAATTTTGTAGGAAAAATTGGGGAAAAAGAGGGAAAACTTGGCAAAAAAAAAGGAAAAGTACGAAGGAATGGGGAACTAGTAATTAGCGAGGTAATTAGGGAAAGGTAATTGGGGAAAGTAGTAAGGAGAAATTCTAGGAAAAATGCCAATAATTCTGAAGAATTTTTTAAATTCCGAAAATTTAGAAAATCCAAACCATCAACTTTGAGCTCGATTCACTCGATTCCTGTGAAAGCTATCAAGAAGTGGTCAACTGATTAAATATTGGTGATATTATGATAAATAATTTAGTAGTTTAAAAATTCTTGATATCTCTCACAGTAAGCCAGATAATTGAGCTCAAAGTTAGCGGCTCAAAATACCCAAACTCCCCTCGAAAAGCTTATAAAAACACAGAAATGCTTGGGATTTTTTTTCCAAACTTTGCTATGTACGTCAGAAAAAAAACTTGTCAAAAAACTGCCGAAGAACAAAAGAAAAGTGATAGTAAATGCTCGTTTTTTTTCCTCTGTTTCTGTGAGAGAATAAACGCCGCGAATCCTAGGTGGAGATATATCACACTTGAGATCTATCCAAACGGACACTCTGTAAGTTTTATTTGCTCTCGGAATTTATCGGAGCAAAAAAGAGAAGATAAGGAAAGAAAATGGATCTCTTGGAACTAGTGATCAGATGGTTAGAATATCCGGAGCGTTTTTTTCAAGTGATGTTTATTTGCTAGTGGGGAAAATGTTGAAAAAAGCACTTAATTGACCAGTTGGTGTTTTTAAGCTAAAATATCTCCATTTCTGTGAAAGATACCAAAAAGTGGTCAACTGATAAAATATTGCTGATATTATGATAAATATTTTATCAGCTGACAAACTTTTGATATCTTTCACAAGAACTGAGATAAGGTGGCTCAGAGTTGAAGGATAGGAGGGGGATGGTCACTTTTTGCCTGCTACGAGTTTTTGGAATT